ATAGTGCCAAAAGGTAAAAATCTTTTAGAAGAAAAAAAATCGCCATCAATAGTTTTTTATGAAGTTTTAGAGAAAATTGTTATGAAAATGCATTTATAATGTTAAATATTCATTTTGTGCATCAGCTTACAGGCGCAATGTACAAGGTTGATATAACCCTTATGATAAGTTTGCAATTTGCAATTCTCTGGCCTCATCTAGATATATCTATGCTGGCTTGCAACCGATGGTGATTTTTTTAAATCTTAAAATTTCGAAATGAAAAATCATTATCACCCTGTAAATTTAGGTTTTTATCATTGTTCGTTAACACCTCTGGAGATAAAGAAGCTGGGTTCATGCCACACACTCAAATGTTCTGTTCTATATATATTTCCATACATATATATATATATAATATATACTTTGACATTAAAATACAGAATTCATAATTTGAAATATCACAAGTCTCCTTCATCAGGGTTGAAAGATATAGGGATACAAAATCAGAGTTTGTTTCAAAAACTTTATAGTTCCTTTAAGAAGGAACAATCTAAGAGGAAATCTAAGAACAATCAATTTGTTCATACTTCCGTCAAAAGCTTTTATTCTTTTAATAGTAAAACCTTTTTTAGATTAAAGGGACTGTAAGCGTTATTTCAAGTAACCCCCCTTTGCAAACATGACAATGCTCGATTCACAACAATACCCTTAAAACCTTCATCTGATTAAAAATGAAGAAGATATTCTCGTTTTTCTAGGTTTAACTCTGATCATTCCTATATATGTTTTGATGTAGTAGAAATACGTGAATAAATTTTGGAGAGAAACCCCGATTGAAAATAATTAGTTCTCATAATTATAAAAATCATAATATCTAATTTATACATGATTAGACAATGCTTTTTTTGTGTACCGTTGTTAATCGGGTGTTGCGGGTGTTGTTGCCATCTTTTCTATGAAGGTCACTTAAAACTAAGCTTACAGTCAGTTTAATATGATTTTAATGAAAACCAAGTTTCTCGGTCTCGAAATTCTATTTTATTAATTTTGTCCCTTAATTTGAAGTTTTTGTTACTAAAAGTAACCAATCATAATATTTGTTTTTAATAATCTGTTTTTAATAATACGTATTCATGGTCTTCATGCGCAAAAGTTCACAAAAAAAGATTTTGCGCTGAAAATGCGCAAATTCAGCGCAAAAATTATAGTCATTTTGTCAAAACCCTAATTTTATGATAGTAATATAACTTGTTTAACGCTAAAAACTTGAACAGTCTATATAGTTTTAACGGAATTTAATTCCTGGTGCAGCTAGACGGTCAGTCTGGGCAGATTACCTTCTAGCTCACTAATCCTGGGCCGACTGCCTGGCTTAAACAAGGATAGATAGATAGATATAGATCTAGACAAAGTTCCGTTTACAAATACAAGTTTTTACATTTTAGACAATTAAAAAAATGTACAAAAAGCATAAAGACAATAATGTTAATTTGTATGCCCTTACCCGCGGCATAAACTAAAATGTATGTTTTTCTAAAGTTAAAGACTAAAATCATTTTATTAGATGGTATAGTTGGGCAGGAAGGTCTTTTAATAAGATAACTATTTAATGAATATATTAGGCATGCTTAAAAATAAATAGGCTAAAAACTGTCAGTAAAAACATTGAATCAAAAAATCAAAATCTAAATATTTATTTAAACTAATTCTTTAACTCTTAAACATATAATGTTATCTTTAATAGTGAAAGGAATTGAGTCTTTACCACAAAATCTGTTTTTACAAATCCAAATCTTAGCAAAACAGTTTTATAGAGAATATCTTAATTAATCATGTTTTTGGATATTCAATATTAACGTAATATTATTATTATTATGATTATTATTATTATTATTATTATTATTATTATTATTATTATTATTTTATTATATATTATGGATGTAAGTCTAACAGAAACTCAATGATTGACTTTCATCATTTTATACATTCGTCTTTGAATTGTCCCATTCTTAGATTAGTCCTGTATTAAAGTTATGTTAGATTCTCGATGGGGCGGTTTGTGAGACGGGGTCACTGTGGCCGAATTTCTGCAACCTGTTCTGTACTCTCTGTACTTAGTAGTAGCAAGCAAGCAGTCGCTGAAATCATCTGAAGGTGGATTAAACTCAATTCCGGTTTTGTCAAGATTTAATGCACAATGCAGATTTAGTTTTACAAAAATAGAAACAGCGGTGATGTGTACTTTATGAATTTGTTGAAATTCTTATCTCTCCAATTTGGTATTTTCAATACTTTGTAAAATGTGCATTTATTTTTACTTAGATTAAGCTGAGCTTATTAAACAAAACTCTCTATTGTTTAATGTTTATCGCCAAATTTATTTCGTAGGGTTACGGAAAGACTTGACAAACACATAATGTTCAAAGCTATAAATAAGCCTTAAATTGTTTATCAAATAACTGGGCAATTTCCTAGAGAACGATTTTTGGATCCCCTCTACCCCCTCCCCTCTCCCCTCCTATTAATTTTGAACATTTTGTAAAATTGATCATGTGGCCGCAGCGCCGGCCCCCTAGCCTGTCCTAGCCGCGGCGCTCGGCCCCCTAGCCGAAGCGCTCGGGCCCCTAGCCCATCCTAGCCTCAGCGCTCGGCCCAGAAATTGTCTTAAACTAACCTAACCCTCAATAATAAAAAGTAAATATACAAAATTTATAGGAGGGGGGGAGTGAGGAGGGGGGGTCCAAAAATCGATCTCTAGGACGGACCCAATAACTGTAGTTAAGAACAAGAGTAGATGGGGGTTATTTTAGATGAAAGAAAAATAATGAAGTTAAAAATAAATGGTGCACCAAGAAAAATTTTGAACAATATTTTAGGGAAACATCCTTGTTTAGATCGGGGCAAGATCAATTTTTACTCACCACAACTCATTTTAACCTTTTCCCAAAAATCTCAGTGGGGCAGGCCCCCTGGGATGGGGGGGGGGGCAAGAAGACTATTACCCCACCCACCGCGAACGCTCCTACTTATCAACATGTTCTCAATAATACAATCAAAATCGTTGCTTGTAATTGTAATATCTCTTGTTTAAATTAAGGAACTGTTGCAGCGATTTGTCAATGTTTTTGGTTCGTTCCGCGGAATCTGACCCCCCCCCCTTCAAAAAAAATTAGGGACATGGTGGCAATCTGCGGCTTCTTCAATTCTATTCTAAGTAATGGTTGTCAATTTTTTCCTTAACTTTTCCTTTGGTTCACTTTTCACCGTACTCAATTTTTTCCTCAACTCTTCCTTTGGTTCACTTTTCACCGTACTCAATTTTTTCATCAACTCTTCCTTTGGTTCACTTTTCACCGTATTCAATTTTCCTCAACTCTTTCTTTGGTTCACTTTTCACCGCAATCAATTGTTTCCTCAACTCTTCCTTTGGTTCACTTCTCATCGGAATCAATTTTTTCCTCAACTCTTCCTTTGGTTCACTTTTCATCGGAATTAATGTTTTCCTCAACTCTTCCTTTGGTTCACTTCTCATCGGAATCAATTTTTTCCTCAACTCTTCCTTTGGTTCACTTTTCACCCTAATTATTCCTAATGTGACTGACGACGTAATTTAAGTGACCCTCCATTTAATAAGTAACATTTTCCGATTTATAATTGCACCGTAAATGTAAGGTCACTTAAAAACAATCCCTGTAAGTAAATCCTGTATAAACTAGATGCACGAAATTGCATCAAGACACCTGAGCGCTTAATCATTATCAGCTGAGCAAACAAGATAAACAAATAAAACCACTAAAAGATGGATACGGGGAAAAATTAAATATTTACAAAACTGTGTCACCTGATTCTCATGTCACACTCGTCACACCGGCTTCAATGGCCGGTGTGACATGAGAATCAGCCCGGGCGTGAGATAATGGCTGGGCTTCTGTATTTCGGCCTTTTTTCAATAGTCTGACACTTTCCCCACATTATTAAATTATAAAAGAATTTTTAAAAACTTGCCGTGAGTAAACGTTGTAGTTAAATAAGTTTCTAAATGCACAATTGCACATGAACAGTTTCTGTAATGATAATTCGCAATATCATAATTTAGTGGATTTATTATATTGATTTTATAAAGAAATTACAGTTTTACCTTTTTAATCTCTCTGTTCAAAAAAGTTTTTAAACCAATTAAAGAAATATTTTTATGGAAATGCTTTTTTATTCCTTCATGAATTTCGTTTTTCTCTTTTCTTTACGAAAAGTTAATGTAGTATTTTTAGTCTTGTTGAAAACAAATTGCACGTTTTTTGATAACATAAATTGATCTAAATTGTTTCTTGTTATCTGACAAGAGATAAGATTAATTTTAGTCAGGGTTTGATTATTTCTGTGCTGAGGTGTTCATCATCATTTAAGAGAACAAAATTTACAAATAGTAAATCTTGAACCAGTTTTGATTTTGTACAATGTACTGCAGAATAATGTATGTATAATGTATATCTAGGACCCTGATGATAATAATTATGCCGAATACAACTTGAAAACTGAGACAAATGCTTTCATAATTCTAAAATGTACATGTCTAGGTCTGCTAAATAGTACAAGTGAGATAGTGACACAATTGAAAGTCTGCTTAATAGGAATTTACACCATGTGCTATACTCAATTATTCTTCTTAAAATGGAACAGATGTAATTATGCATTTTGTGTAAAAATTTAGAAAAGTGTACAAAAAATGTTTTAATCCTGTGTTCCATGCTAAATTTTTCTAATTAAAAATACCAACATTTGACGATGTCCTCTATGCACTTTCTTTCAAACCTTTCTATCACCTGGCATTAACATGCAAACCTTACAGCTACAGCTACAGCTACAGCTACAGCTACAGCTACAGCTACAGCTACAGCTACAGCTACAGCTACAGCTACAGCTACAGCTACAGCTACGGGCCCAATTAGACTTTTTAAGCGATAAAAAAGTTTAGAATCATGGTAATTTTTTATCACAATTTATATTTACCCACACTAATAATATCTTGTTTATATTTCAGATGACAAATCGAAATCATGGAGATCGTAGTTGGATCGAAATACTTCAAGATCCTGTCTTAGTTTGGAGATTTCAACAATACTTTGGAGTTCAAAAGGTACTTTCAAACATTTCAATTATAGTCAATGTATTGATTTCCCTTGGAATGACCGGTTTCAAACTACTCTCCATATATAAACTGTGTTTTCTTTAATTCTTTATTCAGATGATGTTAAACTTGGTAGAAGAGTTTGGATGTTTAACTGAAATAGATTGAAGTATTATAGCAACAATATAACATTGATAAGAACAATTTTTATAATGATTTCATATAATTACTTACACGAATGTCATCTATTAAGAAAGAAATCAAAGTAAGTTTACATCAGCGTNCTTTCCATTTTTAATATTTTGAAATCCACCAATGACTTCAGAAAAATACGCAAAATATTTTATTATTATTTTTTTATAAAAAAACTTTAATAAAAAAGATAAAAAGGCAGGTAGAATAGTTTTTTTAAATATCTTTTTTATAACACGGAGCACTGTACTTTAACCTTAAAGTGATTGATTCAATATTTCCAAAAGTCTTATTGGACTGTACAGTGTACTCTAGGTTAAAGAAGTTACAAGAGGTCCAACCTGGGTAGCTCTGGAGTCGAAATTGATGCCAACGCCTCTACCGGACAAAGTCAAAATTAAAACATCACCTGAAATTCTTCCAGAATATGTTGAGGGTAATATAATAAAAAATAATCGTAATGAAAGGGAAAAAATGTTATTTTATTTCTATTTGAGATAATATAGTGTTCTTTAATAGACGAGCACAGATATGATCTACGGGTTCGTGCAGTCAAAAAAGATCAATTCCAGGTAAAAACTGGTAAAGGATATAGGATCATGTGATAATAGCGTTGTGACGATATCCTATTGCAGTTTTGTCGAATTTAATAGTTGATTGCATACAGACATACAGACACCTAAACAAGTAAAAAGTGTAAGATAAAGTAATAAATGAAAATAACTTTTTTAATGTATTCCTTATATTATATTTATTCTTCTTTAACATGTTTGTTTGTTTGTTTGTTTGTTTTTTGTGTTTTTTTTTACCCGCATGGATGCTTATTAGATAGCAGAAGTTTTGTATCAATAATTGCCAAGCAACTTATGCAAAATAAAGCAAAGCAGTAGATTTGATGCTAAAAATTTCTGATCAACCCAACTTGAATGTTGTTTATATAGCGGGCACTACAAGAATAAAAGCGATTTTTAATGTGAAATGTGTAAAATTTTATTTTCTTTGTGTCAAACTTTAGTGATTGATTGATTGATTGGTTGATTTATTGATTGATTTATTGAAGGACGAAGATGCCAGTGTGTGTTCCTCCGGGTACTCCTCTGAAGCTGAAAGTGAGGAAGCTAGTATTGTATACTACAAGGTAGTTACTATTTACACCAGTAAATCTCTAATTACCAGGCCAGCTACATTTCCTTGTTGACAGCTAAATCTGAAAATTCTTTCATTTATTTTAGATGTCAAGCGTTGTCATTGGCGGAAAGTGAATAAAGTGAACCAATGGAAAATGTTACAAATCTATTAAATTCTCCCAAAAAAAACTTATTTTCTTTTAAAACCCTTTTTTCATATTTAATACTTTTTCTTTTTTAAATTTTACCAAAGTTCTTTTTTTACTAAAAATATTAGATTTTTTTTCAAAACCATTTTCTTTTCTCTTGTCTTTTAATTTCTCTGCAATAGTTCATATTTCTACCTTAAGATTTCAGATAACATTTTTGTACATTTTTGTTTTCTTTATAGATTGGAAGTGAAATTTGGCACCTTGTGTTCTTGCTGGGTAGTCAGCTTGGAGACGAAACATTCTACGCCCTTTTCTTTGCTTTCTGGTTCTGGAATATAGGTTTGAGTTATTCGGGGATTTTGGGTTCCAGTTTATTAAGGGTTTTTGATTCCAGTTAATTATTGGGTTTTCGCTTCCAGTTAATTATTGGAATTTGGGTTCCAATAATTTATTGGGTTTTGGGTTCCAGATAAACAGGGGCTTGAGTTCCATTTAATTATTGGGTTTTGGGTGCTACAGGTTTCATTTAATTAGGGGTTTATTATTAATCATAGGTTTAAGGTTTAAAATAGTCAGGGTTTAAGTTACTTAGGGTGTTAGTTAGGTTTGAGTTAATCAGGGGTTTAAGGTTCGATTTAATCAGAGATTTTTTTGCTCAAGTCAATCAGTTACAGAAATGGGCTTAGTTTTTGAAAACTATTGAAAAAAGAACAATTTAAAGTTGTTCGAACGAACTTGAAAAAGCGAACGTTTTTTACTAAACGAACGATTTTTCCAAAAGATTAAAAGAAATATCGTTGTTTACTGAACAAACGAATTTTCGGAACAAACTTTATTAAAACGATAGTTTTTTACTGAATAAACAATTTTGTCCTACAAACTTTGGAAAATACGATCGTTTTTGAAATAATCAGGGGCATAAGTTTGAGTTAAAAAGTGAATAAGGAAATAAATGGCCCTTTATGGAATAAATCTAAATCTAATAAACTTATGTATGAGTTTATTAATATTCTTTTATTATTAGATGGAGCTGTTGGGAGGAGAGTCATGCTTGTTTGGATGTTAGCCATGTACATAGGACAGGTAAACTACAATATAGGACAGGTACAGTACAATGTACAATGTAGATAGGACAGGTAAAGTACAATGTACATTGTACAATGACAATGTAGATAGGACAGGTACAGTACAATGTACAATGTAGGTGGGACAGGTAAAGTACAGTGTTTAAAACATGTACAGTCTACTTATGACAGGTATATGGTACAGTATTTAGAAACTGTTTGTATTTAGGTCACTGACAGGTATGCAGTACAGCGTTTAACAACTGATTAGTTCACATAGGACAGGTACATTTGAGTTGAAAAAATTGTACCAATTGTACAAAAGACAAGTTTTGTTGACAAACTATTCAGTGTACTGGACAGTGTATAAAACCTACAGTACACAAATGACAGGTACAGAACCATTTTTAAAACCTGTACAGTGGACACAGACAGTACAGTGGACATAGGAGAGGTACAGTAGAGTTTTAAAAAAATACATTGGATATAGGAAAATACATAGGACTGGTTTGTTGAAGTATTTGAAAACTGTACAATGTACAAAGGTCAGGTAAAGAAAATTGTTTTGAAACAATATTAAGTTTATTTAGTATTAAAGTGTCATTACCGTACACATAGTTTACAGTGGCACTATAAACAATGAACTATGTACAATGTACAATGTACACTATACTCTGTACAATGTTCACTGTACTCTGCACAATGTACACTGTACAGGGAACAGTGTACCCTTGTACAGGGAACAGTGTACCCTGTACTATTAGAAACGTAGGATTATTATTGTGCACTTTATTTTTGGAAAAATATATTTTTTTTTTTAGGGGTTAAAAGATATTATTCGGTGGCCTAGACCTAGCATGCCTCCTGTAATACATCTAGAGAGAAAATGGGCATTGGAATACGGTATTTTATATTATTTATGGAGTATGGTATTTTATATTATTTATGAAATACGGTATTTTATATTATTTATGGAATACGGTATTATTTATTATTTATGGAATACGGTATCTTATATTATTTATGGAATACGGTATTTTATATTATTTATGAAATACGGTATTATATATTATTTATGGAATACGGTATTTTATATTATTTATAGAATACGGTATTATATATTATTTATCTAATAAGGTATTTTATATTATTTATGGAATACGGTATTATATATTATTTATGGAATATGGTATTTTATATCATTTATGGAATATTTTATATATTTTTTTATGGAATACGGTGTTATATATTATTTATGGAATACGGTATTATATATTATTTATGGAATACGGTATAATATATTATTTATGGAATACGGTGTTACCCGCATAGAACAAACGACCCTGTTTTAGAGTCTGAAAACGACCCGCACGACCCCAAAAACGGGCGCCGGCCCGACTCTGGTTTAGGACTAATAAAAGAGTCGTTTTTAGACCGAAAAGACCCTGAATCCGTCTCTCCTCAAAACGGATGGGTGTCGGTTTACTTCACGGCAGGGGGCCATTATCTCCCTCAAGATTTATTACTTTGGCGCCATATG